GGCAGCCTCTGGAACTGCCGTTCTGTGGCCAACAAGGCAGAGTTCATCTCAGCCTATGCTACCCTCCAGTCCCTCGACTTCTTGGCGCTGACGGAAACGTGGTTTACCACAGAAAACACTGCTACTCCTACTGCTCTCTCCTCGTCTGACCATGTGTTCTCGCATACCCCGAGAGCATCTGGTCAGCGGGGTGGTGGCACAGGAATCCTCATCTCTCCCAAGTGAACATTCTCTCTTTTTCCCCTCATTTGAATTCCATGCTGTCACAGTCACTAGCCCATTCAAGCTTAACATCCTTATCATTTATCGCCCTCCAGGTTCCCTTGGAGAGTTCATCAATGAGCTTGACGCCTTGATAAGTTCCTTTCCTGAGGATGGCTCACCCCTCACAGTTCTGGGTGACTTTAACCTCCCTACGTCTACCTTTGACTCATTTCTCTCTGCCTCCTTCTTTCCACTCCACTCCTCTTTTGACCTCACCCTCTCACCGTCCCCCCCTACTCACAAGGCAGGCAATACGCTTGACCTCATCTTTACTAGATGCTGTTCTTCTACTAATCTCACTGCAACTCCCTTCCAAGTCTCCGACCACTACTTTGTATCCTTTTCTCTATCGCTCTTCTCCAACACTACTCACTCTGCCCCTACTCAGATGGTAATGCGCCGTCGCAACCTTCGCGCTCTCTCTCCCGCTACTCTCTCCTCTTCCATCCTATCATCTCTTCCCTCTGCTCAATCCTTCTCCCTCCAATCTCCTGATTCTGCCTCCTCAACCCTCCTCTCCTCCCTTTCTGCATCCTTTGACTCTCTATGTCCCCTATCCTCCCGGCCGGCTTGGTCCTCCCCTCCTGCTCCGTGGCTTTACGACTCATTGCGAGCTCACAGAACAGGGCTCCGGGCAGCCGAGCAGAAATGGAGGAAAACTAGACTCCCTGCGGACCTGGCATCTTTTCACTCCCTCCTCTCTACATTTTCTTCCTCTGTTTCTGCTGCTAAAACCACTTTCTACCATTCTAAATTCCAAGCATCTGCCTCTAACCCTAGGAAGCTCTTTGCCACGTTCTCCTCCCTGCTGAATCCTCCTCCCCCTCTCCCCCACCCTCCACCCTCTCTGTGGATGACTTCGTCAACCATTTTGAAAAGAAGGTTGACGACATCCGATCCTCTTTTGTTAAGTCAAATGACACCGCTGGTCCTGCTCACACTGCCCTACCCTATGCTTTGACTTCTTTCTCCCCTCTCTCTCCAGATGAAATCTTGCGACTTGTGACGGCCGGCCGCCCAACAACCTGCCCGCTTGACCCTATCCCCTCCTCTCTTCTCCAGACCATTTCCGGAGACCTTCTCCCTTACCTCACCTCACCTCGCTCATCAACTCATCCTTGACCACTGGCTATGTCCCTTCCGTCTTCAAGAGAGCGAGAGTTGCACCCCTTCTCAAAAAACCTACACTCGATCCCTCCGATGTCAACAACTACAGACCAGTATCCCTTCTTTGTTTTCTCTCCAAAACTCTTGAGCGTGCTGTCTTTAGCCAACTCTCTTGCTATCTCTCTCAGAATGAACTTCTTGATCCAAACCAGTCAGGTTTCAAGACTGGTCATTCAACTGCGACTGCTCTTCTCTGTGTCACGGAGGCTCTCCGCACTGCTAAAGCTAACTCTCTCTCCTCTGCTCTCGTCCTTCTAGACCTATCTGATGCCTTTGATACTGTGAACCATCAGATACTCCTCTCCACCCTCTCCGAGTTGGGCATCTCCGGCGCGGCTCACTCTTGGATTGCGTCCTACCTGACAGGTCGCTCCTACCAGGTGGCGTGGCGAGAATCTGTCTCCGCACCACGTGCTCTCACCACTGGTGTCCCCCAGGGCTCAGTTCTAGGCCCTCTCCTATTCTCGCTATACACCAAGTCACTTGGCCTCTCCTATCATTGCTACGCAGACAACACACAACTAATCTTCTCCTTTCCCCCTTCTGATAACCAGGTGGCGAATCGCATCTCTGCATGTCTGGCAGACATATCAGTGTGGATGACGGATCACCACCTCAAGCTGAACCTTGGCAAGATGGAGCTGCTCTTCCTCCCGGGGAAGGACTGCCCGTTCCATGATCTTGCCATCACGGTTGACAACTCCGTTGTGTCCTCCTCCCAGAGTGCGAAGAGCCTTGGCATGACCCTGGACAACACCCTGTCGTTCTCTGCTAACATCAAGGCGGTGACCCGATCCTGTAGGTTCATGCTCTACAACATTCGCAGAGTACGATCCTGCCTTACACAGGAAGCGGCACAGGTCCTAATCCAGGCACTTGTCATCACCTGTCTGGATTACTGCAACTCTCTGTTGGCTGGGCTCCCTGCCTGTACCATTAAACCCCTACAACTCATCCAGAATGCCACAGCCCGTCTGGTGTTCAACCTTCCCAAGTTCTCTCACGTCACCCCGCTCCTCCGCACACTCCACTGGCTTCCAGTTGAAGCTCGCATCTGCTACAAGACCATGGTGCTTGCCTACGGAGCTGTGAGGGGAATGGCACCTCCGTACCTTCAGGCTCTGATCAGTCCCTACACCCAAACGAGGGCATTGCGTTCATCCACCTCTGGCCTGCTGGCTCCCCTACCTCTGCGGAAGCCCAGTTCCCGCTCAGCCCAGTCAAAACTGTTCGCTGCTCTGGCACCCCAATGGTGGAACAAGCTCCCTCACGACGCCAGGACAGCGGAGTCACTCACCACCTTCCGGAGACATTTGAAACCCCACCTCCTTTAAGGAATACCTGGGATAGGATAAAGTAATCCTTCTACCCCCCCCCCCCCAAAAAAAAACAAACAAACAAACAAAAAAAAAACATTGTAAAGTGGTTATCCCACTGGCTATAAGGTGAATGCACCAATTTGTATGTCGCTCTGGATAAGAGCGTCTGCTAAATGATGTAAATGTAAAAAATTTAACAGTGTATTTTCAAAAGGACTCTGACGGTCAGGTTAGTCAGACCTACAGTAGTATGCCTTAATGAGCTTCTTCATGAAAGGATGTTAGGATACTGCTTTCAACCCCCATCTTAACATCCATATACAGTGCCTTCGGAAAGTATTCAGACCCCTTGACTTTTTCCACATTTTGGTAGGTTACAGCCTTATTCTAAAATTGATTAGATTGTTTTTTCCCCCTCATTAATTTACACACAATACCCCATAATGACAAAGCAAAAACAGGTTTATAGAAATTTCTGCAAATGTATTACAAATAAAAAACGGAAATATCACAGTACTTTGTTGAAGCACCTTTGGCAGCGATTACAGCCTAGAGTCTTCTTGGGGATGACGCTACAAGCTTGGCACACCTGTATTTGGAGAGTTTCTGCCATTCTTCTCTGCAGATCCTCTCAAGCTCTGTCAGGTCGGATGGGGAGCGTCGCTGCACAGCTATTTTCAGGTCTCTCCAGAGATGTTCGATCGGGTTCAAGTACGGAATCTGGCTGGGCCACTCAAGGACATTGAGACGCCAGGACAGCGGAGTCACTCACCACCTTCCGGAGACACTTGAAACCCTACCTCTTTAAGGAATACCTGGGATAGGTTAAAGTAATCCTTCTACCTCCCCTTACCCCACCCCAAAGAAAAATAAAAAAAATATTGTAAAGTGGTTGTCCCACTGCCTATCATAAGGTGAATGCACCAATTTGTAAGTCGCTCTGGATAAGAGCGTCTGCTAAATGACGTAAATGTAATGAAACAAACACAACAGGCCTGTTTAGGTTGGTGTTTAGTGGTCGTGGTCTCAAACCCAACTGGGCTGGTTTCCCAACATCAACCCCAACATGGGTCCACATTAGGGTTGTGACTGCTCATGCATCATTCCCAACTGGCCACCCGGCTCTCACGCCTCAGGGCATCGGGTGGGTTGTTATAACCCTCAGGCAAGGGAATGTTATTTGCCATTTCAAGTTTCTTGTTTTCTGTTAGTTATTTTGGTCAAAGGGTAATGTTATACTATGGTAATACAATGGAGTGTCTGAATTCACTGCCTTGATGTCCAGTGTCAGCATGACCAGCAACAGTTCAGACAGTTGATGTCCAGTGTCAGCATGACCAGCAACAGTTCAGACAGTTGATGTCCAGTGTCAGCATGACCAGCAACAGTTCAGACAGTTGATGTCCAGTGTCAGCATGACCAGCAACAGTTCAGACAGTTGATGTCCAGTGTCAGCATGACCAGCAACAGTTCAGACAGTTGGGCTATATACTCTTACATTTTTAATGAAACCGTGTCTGAAGTCATTAACAATTCAGTAGAGTATCAGAGTACAGATAATTGTACAGTATTATTTGTAATGCAAAACACTGGATTGGCTAGGAAACATGGGGACTAACACAGCCAGTGGTTGAATAATGCCAGTTTCCCCTGATGAGAATGAGTTTTTTTTTTTGTTGCTTATATTGAACTATGAGGATGGGTATGCGTACTATGTTCATGTCAGGCTTATAGTCCTGTAAAGTAAAGCCTTAACAATGCCACTTCTATCTGTCACCAATGTGCTGAGTGTGGTGTTTAGTCCAGGGATATCGGTTTTCTTTTAATATTGTCAGAGAGTCATCCCAAACATGTCACCTCCAAAAATGTCATTTGATGACATTTGTGTAATTTATACAGAGATCAGACCATTACACAAGTACAGAGCATATTAGGTTTATGTTAAGTTCAATTTGTTTGGTGTATTTTATCACATAGTTGTATAGAATATTCCCCTTTGACTCCGTCAGCCATCTCACCATTTTGTCCCTGTTTTCTTGTACAGATCTGTTCCTGATGGTGATTCTCAGACATTCTCCTGGATCAACTATGAAGTTAAAGTTGTAGCTGTATGTTTCAAAAGGTTGCTGCCCAACCAAGTCATTTGAAACCCATGGAAGTAAATAGCTATTAATTTTGAGGTGCTTTGAAAACTCAACTTGATATAAATCAGTGGGTATACAGTAAACTCAAACACAGCTGTGCTGAAACATGTCTAAAAAGCCTGGCAGTGTGAAGACAAAGAGTAGACCCTCGTCACAGGGACCCCTGCAGCTGGCCCTCTCCTCAGGGCCTGGGGACCGTAATGGTAACTCAGTGGCCTGTCTCGGGTCCTCCTCCCCGGACTCTCTGAGGAGTCTGAGCAGCCTAAGTGATGGAGACACCTCCAGTCCCCCTGACGTGGACATGGAGTGTTGCCTGAGGGAGGGCTCCCCGCCCCCGGCCAACCACCCCACAGACCACCCAAGAGATGTATCCCTCAATAGCACATTCACAACTAACACACCCATAAACGGTAACCTCGAACTTGGCTCACCTCCAGAGAACAGCTCCTTTGACCTCATCACATTTCCAGAGAATAGCACCTACACTGTCCTCTCACCTGCAGTGACTGTACCTGGTGAGGGGGACGTGATGGAACCTGTCCAAACATCTATCTCCAGCTGTGTGAACACCAGCCTGGACAACTGGAACGGGAATATCACTCTGGTGATCACCAGTCTGCAGGGGGACCATGGTGACAACCAGAGTGACTGGAGGAGTAGCACATCGTCTGGTGACAGGAGTGTTGCTGCCTCTCCTGAATCGGCCCCTCCTGAGGGGGAAGAGAGCTCCAGCTCCGTGTCGCTCCCTGGTTCCAGTGAGAACAACTGCTCCATCGGCTCAGGAGAGATGGTGATGAGGTGGAACAGCTTCTGTCTGCAGGAGGCTGACACTCTCACTGTGTCTCTGTCTCTGGTGGAGCTGTCCACCAGTTCCTCTGCCCACGGCTCCCCTGCCCTGCCTGCTGACCTGGGCCATGGCCTGCTGTCTGTGTCCACCACCACCCTGCCTGGCGTCTGTGACGGCCTCCTGGAGAACAGACCCACTGACACCCTCAAAGTAAAAGACAACCCAGGCCCTCAGTGCTGGGGCATGACCTTTATCCAGTCAGACGACCAGGATCTCCCTCCTGAGAGGGACGGCCTGGCACCGCCTGGGTCTCCTGTGGATGCGGATCCCTGTGAGGCAAAGGGTGTACACCAGGGGACCTTTCTGTGTGAGCCAGCCCCATCTGCTGCATGTGGAGGTGCTTCCCCAGCCCTCAGCAGGCGGGCCAGCTCGGAAGCCTATTTCAGTGGAGGATCCACCGAGGGCAGGACCTTCATGCTGCCAGTCTCAGAGGAGCTGGACCCTGACTGCCGTGCCCAGACCTCCACACCAGTGCAGTGTGCTGGGAACAAACCCCTGGACTTCCCCTCCCTAATGGAGTCCCCGTGCACTGGGGAACAAAGTCACACTGGGAGCCCTGTGGTCCAGACGGCTACAGACCAGCGAGGGGCGGCCGCAAAGCTCGCATCCCCAAAACACACTTTGGTCGCCAGGCTTCCCCCATCATCAGCTAACAGAATCAGCAAATCTGAAATCAAAAGGTTTCCAAAGCCGGATTTCAGCAGTGTGAGACCCAAGATCATGTCGAGACCAGCTCATCCGTTGGCATTGGGAAGCCCTGCACCTGCAAAGAATAAGCCAGGGAAACCAGTCAACCAGCCCTGTAGTAAACCATCTCAAGTGAACAGGAACACTCCAATGAGAAACACTCCTAGTAAACTAGCCACAGTGGAAGATGGCCCCCCTAGGGCTGCTGTGGTCGAGAATGCAGTGCCTGATTTCCTGGGAATTACATTTATCCAGGCAGATGACCAAGACCTCTCTTCGGCTGCTGGGTCTCCCATTGGTCCACTTCTTCTTAGTTTGACTGAGGAGGCAGAGTGTCGAGCATCCCTGTCAGCCCCACCAGCACCCAGCAGTCAGGCTAGTAGTCGGGTCAGCTCAGAGGCCGAGCACGTGGCTTCTAACTGTGGAGGAGGACCCGCTCCAGTGCTGCCTGGAAACCAGACCTTCTGTTTCCCATCTCCCACAGAGTCACCCTCCAAAGAGCAGCGAGCTGACCCTACACCAGACCTGGCCAGTACTGGCAAGGCTGGCAACAAGGAGGAAGTGCCACACAGGACGAGACCTGGCTCCGTCTCCTCAGCCTCCTCACCATCCAATCAGGACAAGGCACCAGTGTCAGCACGGCGGTCCCGCTGCTGGTCGGAGAGTTCCTCCACTACATCTACACCACACAGGGAGTCCAGAGCTTCCCCTAGCAGCTCAGCTAGCTTCATCATCCCCAAGGTCTACGTCCACCTGGGACAGAGCCAGGCCAGACCAGCCAGCCACAACCGCACTGCCACTACCCACAACAAACAGCCTGAGACCAAGAAGGAAGCAGAAGAGGGAAGCAGCAAGGTTAAGAAAATCTGCCTTGTAAGTAAATGCAAGTGTCTTGTGCCCTAAACGTAACGTAGAATAAATGCGTTTTGGCTTGTTTAATCAAATCCAAGTATGATGAAATGTGCATAAAATATACTATTCATTAGAATAACTGCAGCATATAATACACTACTTTGTTTAATTTTCTAACATTGTAGATGAATGGGCTTGTGAAGGTCCATGTGATCGTTTTGAAAGTAATAATTTTTCATCATTAGGCAGATCTGAGATATTATTATTAAGTAGACCACAGACGTCCAGTTTTTCCAAGGCCCTCCTTATGAGGGATTTCCATCTAAAAAAGCAGGCTTTTTAGATGGAAATGTAGTACTTTTAAATCGGTTTTAATTATCCCTCGGAGAGAAGAGGCAAGACTGCTGCTCAGCTGGAGTCTAGCAAACACAAACCATGTGATCTGAGAGTGTTTTTAGAGGAGGGGGAAAACTGAGAGAGAGGTGTCCGGGACTGGCATTAATCCCAGGGGGTAAAGTACACTAGCAGCTTGGTTCTGTTGCCTGCAACGTGTTTGTCTTAGTTCCCAGTGAGCTGGGTCTCTCTGTTTATGGCCCACGGTGAGGAGCGGGAACGCGCTGTCTGGGCCTGTTGAGTGGGACTCTGGGAGTGATGGGTTGCTCTTGTTGCAGACGGCCTCCTCTAAGACCGCGGCGGGAGCAACGGCAGCAGGAGGAGCTGCGTGTGACAGGATTAAGAGTAGACTTGGAGTATGGCCATCCCTCAACAGAGCCAGAGGAGCCCCTGCCTCAGCCTCCCAGGCTCTCCCTCCAGCAGCCAGGCTGAGGCAGGGAAGAGATGTCTGCATTACATTTTACATTTTAGTCATTTAGCAGACGCTCTTAACCAGAGCGACTTACAGGAGCAATTAGGGTTAAGTGCCTTGCTCAAGGGCACATTAACGTCATTTAGCAGACGCTCTTAGCCAGAGCGACTCACAAATTGGTGCGTTCACCTATAGCCAGTGGGATAACCACTTTACAATTTGGGGGGGGGGGGGGGGGGGGGTTAGAAGGAATACTTTATCCTATCCAGGTATTCCTTAAAGAGGTGGGGTTTTCAAATGTCTCCGGAAGGTGGTGAGTGACTCCGCTGTCCTGGCGTCGTGAGGAGCTTGTTTCCACCATTGGGGTGCCAGAGCAGCGAACAGTTTTGACTGGGCTGAGCGGGAGCTGTGCTTCCGCAGAGGAAGGGGAGCCAGCAGGCCAGAGGTGGATGAACGCAATGTCCTCGTTTGGGTGTAGGGACTGATCAGAGCCTGAAGGTACAGAGGTGCCGTTCCCCTCACTGCTCCATAGGCAAGCACCATGGTCTTGTAGCGGATGCGAGCTTCAACTGGAAGCCAGTGGAGTGTGCGGAGGAGGGGGGGTGACGTGAGAGAACTTGGGAAGGTTGAACACCAGACGGGCTGCGGCATTCTGGATGAGTTGTAGGGGTTTAATGGCACAGGCAGGGAGCCCAGCCAACAGCGAGTTGCAGTAGTCCAGACGGGAGATGACAAGTGCCTGGACCAGGACCTGCGCCGCTTCCTGTGTAAGGCAGGGTCGCACTCTCCGAATGTTGTAGAGCATGAACCTGCAGGAGCGGGTCACCGCCTTGATGTTGGCGGAGAACGACAGGGTGTTGTCCAGGGTCACGCCTAGGCTCTTCGCACTCTGGGAGGAGGACACAGCGGAGTTGTCAACCGTGATGGCGAGATCATGGAACGGGCAGTCCTTCCCCGGGAGGAAGAGCAGCTCCGTCTTGCCAGGGTTCAGCTTGAGGTGGTGATCCGTCATCCATACTGATATGTCTGCCAGACATGCAGAGATGCGATTCGCCACCTGGTTATCAGAAGGGGGAAAGGAGAAGATTAGTTGTGTATCGTCAGCGTAGCAATGATAGGAGAGACCATGTGAGGATATGACAGAGCCAAGTGACTTGGTGTATAGGGAGAAAAGGAGAGGGCCCAGAACCGATCCCTGGGGGACACCAGTGGTGAGAGCACGTGGTGCGGAGACAGCTTCCCGCCACGCCACTTGGTAGGAGCGACCGGTCAGGTAGGACGCAATCCAGGAGTGAGCCGCGCCGGAGATGCCCATCTCGGAGAGGGTGGAGAGGAGGATCTGATGGTTCACAGTATCAAAGGCAGCAGACAGGTCTAGAAGGACAAGAGCAGAGGAGAGAGAGTTAGCTTTAGCAGTGCGGAGAGTCTCCGTGACACAGAGAAGAGCAGTCTCAGTTGAATGACCAGTCCTGAAACCTGATTGGTTTGGATCAAGAAGGTCATTCTGAGAGAGATAGCAAGAGAGTTGGCTAAAGACGGCACGCTCAATAGTTTTGGAAAGAAAAGAAAGAAGGGATACTGGTCTGTAGTTGTTGACATCAGTGGGGTCGAGTGTTGGTTTTTTGAGGAGGGGAGCAACTCTCGCTCTCTTGAAGACGGAAGGGACATGGCCAGCGGTCAAGGATGAGTTGATCAGCGAGGTGAGGTAGGGGAGAAGGTCACCGGAGATGGTCTGGAGAAGGGAGGAGGGGATGGGGTCAAGCGGGGTCAATGGGGTCTGCAGCAGTGCCTCTGGAGGTATGTGTTCACCACGGGCCAAACAGAGCACCACAGCAGGTACGAGCGTTCCCCAACAGACATCGTTAAATTCAAGTTAGAATACAATGTGTAAAACGTTTGCTGCTCTGTGAGAGTTCTATAAGACTAGATTCACACCGAGCTTTTGCATTAGTGCTTTGCTCTCTCTCACATAGGGTAAAAGTGACATCTCATCCAGAGGATAGTGTAAACATTGGCTGCGGTACAGAGTTAATACCTTTTTCTAATCCAGACTGCCTGCCTTTGAATAAGCACCGGCCTAATGATTTCCTAGGCATTTCCTCTGTAATGTAAACAGTGAGCTATCCTGTTATCGTTTAGTCAGGTCTGTATGTCTAGCAGTGTGTATAAGCACCAGAGGACTGACCAGCTGAATAGTGTTTTGGGTTTGTGTGGTGGTTTATGTAACTGATGCTGTACCCTAGAAGTCTAATATTCTGCAGCTGCACAGTGTTTCTGTTGTAAAACTGCTTAAATGTATGGACTCCGCTCGTACAGATGATTCCATTATGTGTTTTAAGTGATCAGTTTCACTAGTGATACATCTGATTTAAAGATGTCATCCTAGTAGTCCTCACAGCATGTACTCATCGGTCTCATTGCCCAACACGTTCACCCTCGCATCGCTATCTGTCCTTTAGTTTAGGAGGGAAAGAGATTCTAAAAACTCTCATTCTCCTATGATACAATGGCTGACTTTACTGTAACTGTAAAGGGCCTTGTTCAATCTGGATTCAACAGGCTCCTCTAAATGGTCATGCTTCAGTGGTAGTCAGCCAGGTTGCAGTACACAATCTCACCATGAGAGGGCAACCTTTCCTTTTGCTGATGACCTAAGCTTGTTCCGTGACCCCACAGGAATAGCATGGATACAGATGTCACCTAGCTTCCCTGCTCAGCTCAGGACCCAGAGATAAACACCCCACCCCCATCACTCTACCGCTCCTATGAGCAGCGTGAAGGGAGAGGGTGGAGACAGTACCAGGGAAGGAGGAGAGAGGGGGGGATTCTTCCTCTGATGGGAAGCCAGCTGTGCTAATAGAACAAGCAGAGGAAGGAAAGGGAGGTTTTTAAAGCTCAGCGCTGCTGTGAAAGCCACAGAACACAATGTCTGTGAAACCGACTCCCTTAAAGGATCCTAGTATGACTGTAGCAGTGTTCCCAGGCTCTACTCTGTATGTGGCAAAGGGCCACCTGGTACTGTTTATGGCTATGGGCCACCTGGTACTGTTTATGGCTATGGGCCACCTGGTACTGTTTATGGCTATGGGCCACCTGGTACTGTTTATGGCTATGGGCCACCTGGTACTGTTTATTACATTTTACTTGAATCCTGAAACTGTTTTATAATGAGTGGGATGGAGTCTCCCCGTAAAGTTTGCAAGGTCTTCAAACTGGGTGAGTTTTTAGTAGGGGTTTCCTGATATGAAGATGATATCATGTAGCAAACTTGGTGCAGAAAAATTAGTAACCATGAGGAAATGATAGGTGCCACACAATTTGGCACTCAGCTTTGTGCTCTTATTTGACACCAGTCATTCATGTAACCTGCTTATGTAACTCCATCAGAGGGGTATTGGGTGGCGTAACAGGCCTGATGTGGAGCAAGGCCAAGCCTGTCTGTCTGCTATCCAACCTGCTTAGGGCAATTATTATATTTCTACCAGTGCTCTGATCTGGCATGAACAAAAGCACCAGTCAGTTCACCCTTTGCCTTGACCATGGCTCATAACAGCTGATCTCTGACCAGTTACCAGATGGACTACTGAACACAAGGACTGGGGCACTTTGAGTACAGTTGAAATGTTGTCTGTGTATTGTGGTGCAGCCTTATGAAAACATGTAGGAGCAGAATATACTGTTACACCCTGCAGGCTTTCTTTCTTTACACTTCTGCCTCTGATTTCTGCGTCTCAATGCTGATCTCTCTATCAATGTTTTGTCACATAGGTCATCAGAGGTCCCAGACAGAGGTTGGAACCTCCTCAGCCAACGGCAGCACTAAGCCCCCAGTCACTGGTTCCAGACCCCACCAGCCCTCTACTGCTGTCTCCTCCTCCAGACTGCCCTACAAGTCCCAGGGTGTCCCCAAGAGCATCCCTTCCAAGTCCCAGGGTGTCCCCAAGAGCATCCATTCCAAGTCCCAGGGTGTCCCCAAGAGCATCCCTTCCAAGGCCAGTGTCCACAATGAGCACAGTGGCAGCACAGGTAACGTACAAGGTGAGAAGCTCAACTAGGGAAATCATACTCTGATATTGTTTTGTTCTAGTTGAATAAAAAAAGTAAGATTTTTATAGCCTTATTTTACGAGGTAAATTGACTGAACACATTCTTGTTCACAGCAAGAATCTGGGAAAGAGTCTTTATCAATGTTGTTGCTCTCCACGGTCAGTCTGGTGGAGAGTGCGACCCTGCCTTACACAGGAAGCGGCGCAGGTCCTGGTCCAGGCACTTGTCATCTCCCGTCTGGACTACTGCAACTCGCTGTTGGCTGGGCTCCCTGCCTGTGCCATTAAACCCCTACAACTCATCCAGAATGCCGCAGCCCGTCTGGTGTTCAACCTTCCCAAGTTCTCTCACGTCACCCCCCCTCCTCCGCACACTCCACTGGCTTCCAATTGAAGCTCGCATCCGCTACAAGACCATGGTGCTTGCCTTTGGAGCAGTGAGGGGAACGGCACCCCTGTACCTTCAGGCTCTGATCAGTCCCTACACCCAAACGAGGACATTGCGTTCATCCACCTCTGGCCTGCTGGCTCCCCTTCCTCTGCGGAAGCACAGCTCCCCCTCAGCCCAGTCAAAACTGTTCGCTGCTCTGGCACCCCAATGGTGGAACAAGCTCCCTCACGACGCCAGGACAGCGGAGTCACTCACCACCTTCCGGAGACATTTGAAACCCCTGTCAGGTTGATTTCTAAGGACACATCTGGTTACAGGGAAGGGTGGGGGGGGGGGGGGAGCAGTGGACTGTACATGGTGACCCACATTGAGAGGCTACTGACTGGGCTGTGCTAAATAGTAAATCTCCTTGGCTTTAAGCCTCCACATCAGCCTGCTGGAGACCCATATTTTTCATCTTGTGATTTTTCCTGTGATCTGTTTCTACATTAAATCACATACTGCAAAGGAAAGTCTACAGTACGCCTCAGTAGGTTCAGCAGTGACTGTGAATGCTATATCCTTTTTCGGATGGGCATTATTTTTGAGTTATGTTCTTCCTTAGATGATGATCCAGCTCTAACCCTCTGAGAAGTCTTTGAGATGAACATCAAAGAGCTAGTCTGTAAGGTGAATGAATCCTACACAGTCAAATGAATGAAAGGAATTGGCAACATTCCCATCTTGTATGGTTCAACTGTGCATGGTTATAATACGAACATTGATTGTGTCTTAACAAGCATGCCTTGGAATTTCTGACTGTTGAGCTGTACAGTGGGAGGGAGAGGGAGGTAGCCCTATTAGACAATGGGCCTTTTCCCTTTCAGCATCTTCAGCATACTGAGACCTGATTGGCTAAGCAGCTCTGTTTTTCAGTCTGGGGTCCCCCACACATGGTTGTCTAGGAGATTGGGTCTGTTCCACTGTGGTTCAGTCACAGTGATGCCTAGAGGGGGAGAGCGCACACCACAGAAATACCACAGAGGACTATTTAGACTGCCATAGGGAGGATTTCTGTTGTTTTCTGGTTTTGTGTTTGCGATCTTTCCATCTTCCAAATGTCTGGTTACGGGGGACTCCGGAGCTGCACTTGGACTGAATTTTCTGCTCAGGTTTTCACCAATTCCTCATTGATCCCACAAGGCAGTGCTGCAGGCTCCCACTGTGACCTCACTCTGCTCACATGCCTGCTCATTGGATCCTATCGCTTCTGTATCATCCCTTTGTTAGCCGCTTTTAACGGGAAGAATAGAATCCGGCTATGGAAGAGTAAGTCAGACTTGGAATTGTAATGAATATCTGTCTGCATCTGCCTTGTTTCATTTAACTCTCCGTTCTCAGTCCATTGCCCCTCTCTTTAGTACACTATGTACTCAACTTCTGTTGCTGTAAATAAGGTGGAGCTGTTTTGTGGAATTATGAAGTATGACACCAAGCTCCCTCCTTCATTTGTAAATGATAGAAATTACATTTAAATGTTTCATTCCTAAAACGGTAAATCACATCAACTTTAGATGTCGAGTGTCTGAATACTGATGAAGTATGTCTTAACTATTTGACTGTATTATCTGCCCTACAGTTTCTGCAGGAGCAGCCCAGGGGTGTGTGGGAAGACCAGCCTCATCCAAGACCACAGTGTTAAAAGCTAGACTCCTCTCACACCCAGGGAGTAACATAGGACCTGGTGAGATGGGATTCTCATACAGACATAGTTATCCACAAAACCAACAAGTGACTAACAACTATTCTATTGGCTTTTTCCCCCCAAGGTTTTGTTTGTTTTGTTGTTTTCTTCCTGAAGGAATGAATCCCCTCTCAATTTCTGTTTTCTAAATCCCTCAATCTCCCAAATTCTAATCAGATTAGTTGTTAGTCTGTTTTGTGTTTCACCTAAAATCCCATAATGCAGCGCAAATAAGATGGAGCCTGTCTAGATTCACAACATCTGCTATCAAATCCCTGGAATGGAAATTTGGGTGATTAGGAAATAGATTAGAGAACCAAAATGCTGACTTGAAGCTTTGTTTAGATGCGTCAACAGGGTGCTGATGGACATTGTTAAAACACACTTATGTGCAGTTTGATTAGATTAAACATTCATTTTATCCAGGAGTCTGATAAGATGTGTACTGATCAAACACCTTTTAAAATGTGTTTAGCTGAGTTCCCATCAGTAGCCCCTGTCCTCTACGTATGAGGCGTCAGCCTTTAAATGTAATTCAGCAGGCACAACTAGCTTTGATGCAGCTGTTCTCAGTCCCTTCATAGCCAGGGTACAGTGTCTTATTGGTGTGTGTGTGTGTGTGATGGGTCGAATCCACTCAAACCCTGAGCCTCATCTGAAGCTTTTATTATTCACAGCAGGATGCAAAACTACAGCGTCGACCAATCAGGTGCCCTCAAGGTCCAGAGCCAGCCCTCTGAAAAGAACTGCTTCATCAAGACTTCTTCGTCCTGCCGCTGGATTACCTGGTGAGATGGTTATTTTAGTTACCGACAGTATTGACACTTTGTGTTGTAAAAGAGTTGAACTTCCCAATTCAATAAGCCTATCTGAGATGTAGATTTTCATTTTTTGTATGTGGTCAATGGTCATATCCATACATGATTGCCAGAATGTGTGAAACTGCGCATGTTTGAGGTTCTGAATTCTGACTAGATTATTCTAAACCAAACCTTTTCTGGAGAGCTGTGGCCAATCTGCCGTAGTCACACATAATGAGGACTCTCAGCAGGAAAAGCCCTTTGTTTCTCTGGCAGACAAACATACAACTGTTGTGTTCATGTCCATAGTCCTCTATGGCTAGTGGGAGCTGGTTTTGCTTGTGGCCATCTACACTTTGACTGCATAGAATGTACAATGTTCTACTGAAACAGTTACAGTTGCCCAAAACAGTCAGAATATGTATAGAAGCTTTTATACTCAAAGGCAGCTGAAGCTGTTTAATATTTGCATAATAATTCTGAATGTTGGACAGTGGGCCTTTTAGTTTCTAGAGGGAGTAACAGACCTCTCGTTATGGATTGTAGCTCCAGAATGTAATGTAGTCTGAGACTGGAGATCGTTTATCCCTCCTGTCATAGCATATGCTGAAAATGCGATGATAGGACTGTCATGTATTTAACTAATTACCATCAAGCAGTAGGGTTTAGAGAGCACCCATACAGTAGGGTTTAGAGAGCACCCATACAGTAGGGTTTAGAGAGCGCCCATACAGTAGGGTTTAGAGAGCGCCCATACAGTAGGGTTTAGAGAGCACCCATACAGTAGGGTTTAGAGAGCGCCCATACAGTAGGGTTTAGAGAGCACCCATACAGTAGGGTTTAGAGAGCAACCCATAGATAGGGTTAAGAGCACCCATACAGTAGGGTTTTAGAGCACCCACTACCGTAGGGTTTAGAGGACACCCTACAGTAGGTTTTAGAGAGCGCCCATACAGTAGGGTTTAGAGAGCGCCATACATAGGGTTAGAGAGCACCATACAGTTAGGGTTTAGAGAAGCACCCATCAGTAGGTTTAGAGAGCACCCTACAGTAGGGTTTAAAGAGCACCCATACGTAGGTTTAGAGAGCCCATACAGTAGGGTTTAAGACACCCATACAGTAGGGTTTAAAGCACCCATACAGTAGGGTTTCAGACGTCCCATACATAGGGTTTAGAGAGCACCCATACATAGGGTTTAGAGAGCACCCATACGTAGGCTTTAGAGAGCACCCATACAGTAGGGTTTAAAGAGCACCCATACAGTAGGGTTTAGAGAGCACCCATACAGTAGGGTTTAGAGCACCCATACAGTAGGGTTTAGAGAGCGCCCATACAGTAGGGTTTAGAGAGCGCCCATACAGTAGGGTTTAGAGAGCACCCATACAGTAGGGTTTAGAGAGCGCCCATACAGTAGGGTTTAGAGAGCGCCCATACAGTAGGGTTTAGAGCTGTTGAACTGTTAGAGCAGGTCTAAGGGAGCAGGGTTGTTTTTAGCTCATCAGGCTCAACCTTGCTACGAGGTATCCATCACCTCCCGCCATTTCTCTTCTCCTCTCTCTGCTGGTGTGAAGGAGAGCGGAAGGGAGGGAGCGGTGAATTAGTGATAATAGTAGCCCAGATTGAGCCACCATTCGCTCCAGCCTCCACTGTTCACTCCTCCCCCTCTCCTCTCATCTCCCCTCCCCCTCTCCTCCTTCCCTCCCACTCCCCTCCACCCCTCTCCTCTCCCAGCATCGTCCAGCTCTGGGAGATTCTGGAGCTCTACTGCTAGAGCCCCCCCCCCCCCCCCCCGCCAGCCCTCTCTCCCAGCTGGGCATGTGCTGCTGGTCCTCATTCAGAGTGGGAGGAGTTCCTGCTGCCATGGTGAACTGACTGTAGGGGCTCTCACATCGTAACGGTTGCTACTGTTGTTTTTTTCTCTTCATGTCTCAGTGCCGCTGTCGCCTGAGGCACGCTACCCTGAGACTGTCTTTGGCATGTGGTGCACAGCAAGTTGACCATCTTCTACCTTTGGATTTTTTTGGGATTGAAGTACAGTAGTTAGTGTTGGGTATATCACTTCCTTGGTGTTTGGAGAGATGTTATTGTCTCCGA